CGCCGCCGCGGCTGCCGTGGGGCGCGCGCCTCCGGCCGCCCCGCCGCGCACCGGCGGCCCTGACGTCACCCGCCCCGCCCGCCGGGACGGCCTCCCACACAACCATTGGCTCTCTGGCACGTCAATCACCGGCGACTGAGCCACGCCCCGCCCTCCCCGAGAGACAATTCCCCCCGCGCTGTTCCCGCCGGGATGGACCCGGCGCTGACCGGGGCACGGGGGGACAGCGACACGGGCCGGAATGGAGATGGGAGGCTGCGGGAAAGGGACACCGGGTGGAACCAGAGATATGGGCCGGGAACTGGGGCACAGGGCTGAGGACAGGGACACGGGGCTGGAACGGAGATATGAGCCGGGAACGGGGGCACAGGGCACAGAGACACCGTCGGGGGCAGGGACACGGGCGGAGGCCAGGAACAAGGCGCTGAGGGCAGGAACATGACCCTGGAACCGAGATATCGGCCGGTAATGGGGTCACAGGGCTGGGGGCAGGGACATGTCCCTGGAACCAAGATATGGGCCAGGGACATGGTGCTGGGGACAGAAGCAATGACAGGGAACAGTGATGTGGGTCTAGGGAATAGGGACATAGGGGACAGGAGTATGTCCTGGGCACAGAAATATATAATGGAGAGGGACATGGAGCTGTTGGCATCCCCTGGAATTAGGGAAAGGGATAGGAGGCAGTGAGGGAGCTGGAGGTGGTAGGGCTACCTATCCCACAGGGGGCTGTGTAAGGGTGTCAGGTGGTTTTCTACCAGTGGCTACCACCTGCTTAAAGCAAACTGTAGCATGTATCTCTGAGAGGAGGTGTCCCATAGAGAGGGTCTGGGCATTGCCTGCAGGGATGAGGCCATCTTGACTGGAAACAATCTCATCACACTTTCCCAAACTCCCCTGACATCATCCCCAGACTCCCCTGACATCACCATCCTCCTTGGCCATAATGGAGGCAGCAGGAATGCTACTACCCATGAGGATGCTCCTCTCCCATCCTGTGCTCCCCACAGGAGTGCCATCCCACTGTGTCCCAGCCTGACTGCCCAGCAACCCTCCCCAGAGCACAGACCCCCTCCAGGCATGGCTGGGGGTTCCCTCCCCAATGCAGACCACATCGACACAGCTCTGGGGCCACTGGCCTCTGGCACAGGGATGTACAAGGACTACGGTCCCTCGAGGAGAAAGCTGGTCACGCTCTCCTTGGGAAACGGACTGGGGAAGTCCCCCTTCCAGATACTCTGCAAAAGCTCCAGGGTCCCATCAGAGCACCGTGGGACTAACCTGAACTCTGTGTGGGTTCCATGGGGGCCTGGGGCCAGGTGGGTCCCTCATGGGAGCCAGCAACCACCCTGCAGGGAGGAAGGAGCACAGAGCCGGGGTGGGAGTGGGTTCACCGAGGCCAAGCACGTGTGAGGAAGGGCAGGGTGGGACTGGGGACTGGCACACCCTCAGTCTTCCAGGAGCCGCACTTAACTCCACAAGCCCCAGATATCTGAGTCTGTCCCATGGCCCCACACACCCCGCTGGAGCGGGGGATGCCCCGTGGCCACACAACCG